CGCGCGCGCCCGTATGTGTGTGATTCTTATATAGTTATAATTTAAATTAAGTATTAGAATATGATTATAACGATATAACATTTTCAAATGATTGTAAGTCTGTATTCACAGAGTTTATATTTAATATATTTATTTAATACAAGATTAATCGAACCATGTTCGCTGCAAAAGATATAATTATTATTTTATTTTTTTTTTTCAATTATTCCACTTTTTACACAATCAAATAACGACATAACGATTGCAAAAAAAATTCATACTTACATAATTCATACAACTATAATATGAATATATGAATGTATATGTGTGGATATTTTGATAAATTGATATTCAATGAACACAAACCTTATGAAAGAAGAATAACATAAAAAAATTAGAAAAATATTAGATAGATAAGAATTAAAAAGGAATGGCACGTGACTTTTGATATTTTTATTTTTAATAACAATGGCATATTTAATGTCAATCTTTTTCGTTCAGTTTTAATTGTTCACTATTGAATTTTAAAGGATACAAATTGAAAGCATATGAAAAAGATATATTTTTGTTTATTAAAATGTTCTGAATTTAACCAAATGTTTTTCACTGATGCGTAATTATCTTTTTATTGCAATTAAATTATTAAAATTATATTGCTGATAATACATTTAATGTAAATTTTGTATTGAAATTTCACCTTTTATTATTACGCTTAATAAAAAATTGTATGCAATTAGCAATTATTCGTTAAAGTATTTTTGTTAATTAATCTGTTTATTCAGAAACCACCGCAAATTCTTAATGTCGTTTAACTTTTACCTTTTACTCATAGGATCTATCATATTACTTTTACTCAAACGAATAATATGATTTTCAGTTTTTATTATTGCTACTATCGATAATTCTTGTAAAAATCGGATTTTTGTCGTACAAAGAAGTGTTAAATGTTATAATTACATTAATATGAAAATTCATTAATAATCTTTAACATAAAAACAGCTATAAACGACTATTTTTATAGATATTTTCGGTTTCAACCCTCCCCCCCCCCCCCTTCCTTTGTTTTTTTTGTTTTTTGTTTTTTTTTTGTTGTCTTATTAAGATTGTACAAGATGACATTAAGGATTATTCTTGTTTCGTTAAAGAAAAATAGAAAAAATTAGAAAGAATCTATGTTAGAATCTATATATACTATATTGTATTATTGTATTACATAGCTTCAGTGAAGCTAAAGAATTTAGCAAAAATAATGTCGTTTAAGATAGTTGTTATAATCTAATAAAAATGAATGAGAAGTAATGCAAAAAATATTATTTAAGATTAAAAAATTTCATAATTATAAAAATCGAAACTTTTCATTAAATAAAATGCTTATGCTTAATTTTAAATAATAGGAGAAAAGCGTTATAAAATGTGTAAGTCTATTGATTAAAAATTCCTAGAATTAGTGATCCATGGAATTTATTAAAATAATTTTTAATCTCAAAAGTTTTTTTAACTACCTACGAATGACAAGATATTATTTATTTTTCGGCCTAACATAAGAAATATCCATTGATTTAAATTTCATGTAAAATCGTTAGATATAAGCATAATGGTCAACTGTATTAATAAGATTTTCAACACTGTCTTACTGCACCTTACATTAATATGTTTTAATGTATTTATCTAAATAACAAAATCTTTACGCAAGAGATTTTATTAATTTAGCACTAAATGTTCATTTAATATTACAAATTTTTTCAAAGTATTTAAAAGGTTATTATACACACAAACGCAACGCTTTGTCTTTGAAAACTCAAGGTGATATTAACTTGAGCGTCGAGTTTGTTTACATTAAATTTCTTTCTAAGACGTTAGTACGGTTTCTACATATAAGAAGCTTATGTTCTGTTAAATTCTCAAGTCTAATAACTCGTGTAAGCGTTGCACGTGATGCCGCTTTTCATCAAGAACATACATTCTCTCGCTGTCTTGAAATTTTATAATAATATGAGCACTTTTGTAGATATAAAAAATGTGAATAATTACGAATATATTTCAAAAAATTTTATCACTCGAGCAAAATATAATCAAAGTTAAGCATATGCTTTAATGCTGTGTATACTTATTAAGTTATTCGTTAACGTTTTATGAAATTTTCTGAAATTAGAAAAAATTAATATAATTTGTATAGAAATTTTAATTTAAATACATTTGACTTTTTATTCACCTCTTATTAATAGTCGTTTGTTTTTATTCAAATTTTATACATTTTTTATCTTACGTATTATCCAATCAATGTTTTTTTTAACAAATATAAATATGAGTATGCATATTTATAAGCATCGCGAAGGAATTAATTTTTGTTAAATATCATGTATTACTACAAAAATTAATAACTTCTTTACCAGATAAATAGGATATTTTTAATTACAACTCGTTAATGTACAAGCGAAATATTTGCAAGCAGAATTTATTTTATAATTATTTTGACAATATTTTGTTATAATTATCCACGGGGGATTTAATTATTACGGTACTCGTATTCATTGCGCAATAATCAATATTTTTAATTACAATATATACGGATACATATTTCAAACATAATTTATAATTCTTAATTGAATTCTACATTATTATCAAGATATTTGAATAAATAATTATTGTTAATCCATTGCTAGTATTTCAGCTACTTAATTCGCTGATAAGAAGAAATTGTGTATAAACAAATTTAAATGTATTTTTATTGTCGGCGAACTGCACTTACATTAAGAAAACGACTGAATTAAGAAAACTAATAGCTTTATAAAAATTTATAATTATATTTTAATTATTAATAAGATCATTATTATCTTACTATTCTATAAAAACGTATTTAAAATTTTTAGTTTAGTAATTTAGTTTTTGGACTATTAGATTGTCTATGATGATTTTAAGGATATATTAATTCAATTTAATATAAAACATTTAATATACAAAAATCTATTTTTTGACTCGTTAATCGAGTCGATTATTTTTAATCATTAAATTTTAGATAATTTTCACATACATCTTTATATATTTGATGACTGTTTACTTTTCTATTATCCTACCGAAGACTTGAAAATTCTTGTGCATTAAAGTCTATTTTAGTTTCATAATTTTCACTTTACTATTTACAATATAATACTTATTAAAAATTTATCAAAATATAATATTTATCGTTTTGTATCGTTGACTATATATTGTATCAAGAAATCATGAAATCAATCAAGAATTTGTAGAATAAGAGAGCATAATATAAATAAGAGAGCTGAAAAAGACCAGGAAAAACTTTGTGATGCGAACGTATTAAGTTAAATTAATGAGATAATTAGAATGTTAACGTAATATTTTTATTCATCGTATTTTTTTATTAAGTTAAATGTGCTGATAATTTCCTAATATATTCTGTTCTGAAAAGTTTTCTATTCATATACATATGCTCTTTGTTTGTTTTTATGTTTGCTTGGTATATATAGCGATTTTCCAATCCGAAACATATATTTAACAGTAATTTCCTTAAAAAGTAGAAAGGTAGTATATAACATTCACAAAATGGATTATAAATATAGTCTTGTAGTTTGTTTTTTACATTTTATTTTAATTTAATCTTAAGTAATATCTTCAGAATTAATTATGACTGAATAGCATAAAAATAGAATTATTGTATTATTTCATAGATAGGATGAAATATCTTAAAATATCAAGTGTCATATAAATTAATGCTTTTTTTTTCAAATAATTTGTTGGATATAATTATAAAGCTAAAATACAGTAATATAGTATACAATTAATTTGTTGAATATTGTATTAAGCAACTTATTCACATGAAAGTATCATCTGGAAAAAATCAGTCTGGAAAAAAAAAAACAAAAAAAAAAAAAAACGTGCGTACGTGCGCGCGTGTTACAAGAACATATGCAATTCTTCTAATAATAACCATAGTAGCGTATTCAACCATTCAAATATTCATATCAAACCATACCATATTCAAATGATCGTAAAAAATAATTAATTTTACTATTAAAGTATAATTAAAAGGTGATAATTTAAAAAAGCCTTTATACATCTGTAAAATATATTAATGACTTGATCTGCCTTGAATGTTTTCATGTGGAAAAAAAGTGAATTTATTTTTATTACATTCTAGATTGCTGCATACTTCTGCAAAATAAGTGGAGGCAAAAATACTTTCTTAATATTTGCAAAATATTTTTCCCACTATTGGACTACCAGTAGTTTCAACATTTTATTAATAATGCAATAAGCACAATATTAGAATATAACGATAAAATACATATAAACGATATAGCACTGGCATTTGGTAAAGCCAGTAATACGGCCGACTGTTAAATAAAATCTTATGAAAAAGATGCGCGTATGCCTGGCACAACACACTAATTGTTCAAGGTAATCTATCCAATAACGAAACGACGACAAGCGAAATTGGTAGATATCGCGGTAAAAAGCGACGTAGCCAGCTAATTAAGTGTTGACCGTAGCTCGTATCAGAAGTAACGCCAATGTCGGGATTGGCAAAAGATTAGTCGACAGGGTAGCTGACCGAGTGACATGAAAAATTTTGTCACAGCATCGAGAGAGAGAGAGAGAGAGAGAGAGAGAGAGAGAGAGAGAGAAAGAGAGATCGACGAGGGTTGATAGAGCTGCCGTTCTTATGAACTCCAGAGCCGACAATTTTGGATCGGCTGTCGACATTGTCTTAAGGAGCCGAGGCACAGCATACCTTACCTCGCTGCAGCATATGGCTTCCGCATGCACGTAGGCAAAGGTCTCAAGGTAAGCCAAGATATTCCTCAGATCCGCTTTAACTCAATAAGGCTATCTCCTTAAGGCTGTTTGGCGACTTAAGTCGAATCCGAGTGACGACATTCCCGTGCGAAGATCGGCGCACGCCCGCGTTGACGAGGGGCGACACGTGCTGAGTGGCACGGGGAAGGGTAGAATTAGGGAGTGCGAGCGGTAGCCTCTGGTGCACACTTATAAGTGGGATTGCCACGGGAGCTCGAACGAGCCGCAACCAAGAACAACGCGTATCTACATCCTCCGACCATCAGTTGGCTGTGCCACACGAGCCCAACCCTCCTCGACCAAACACTCGGCCCGGAGTCTCGACCGTGCAAGGTGGGCCAACACGCCCCTAACATCCCCTAACTCAGTGAACATATCAAACCTTATCAAGACTTATTACCGCTCTATTAAACTTAAATTTTTATAAGTGATTTTATTACCGAGTCTCTATACCCATACAACGAGTCTTAAGTACAAAGACTATGTCATCAGATTTAACGTTTGTACGAGTGTTGACTTTGACGAGTCAGTGGATGGAAATGCAATAATTGTGCTTGAATTAGTATCCCAAGGCCATGGTAGCTCTCTCACACTAAAGGCTTATTAAGTGCTCGATAATACCATAGTCGTGACCTTTCAATGCAACTAGAAGATAAATCGAAAGTGTTGTATCGATACCGATATTGCATCGGTAGGACAGAGCTCCAGGCTCTTGGGATACTTCAATGTAACAACAAATGTTGTTACTAACTATTTATGCGCTATTATTTACACTAATTGGAATTGCTGAGATTGAAATATTTAGCCATATCATATCGTCATCATTATCAATTGTATCAATATTATAATCGATATTATTTCCATTTCTGTAGCTCTTTTTTTCATCTCTTTTGTTTTACAATTAACCTCGAAGAGTTCATCTCTTTTATGATGAATTACACTCGCTTTTATCGCGTAATTGGGAGTATCGTTCTATCGTAACGCAAACGTCCGAACTAAGGAATATATTTTTCTTATCTATTTGAAAAATAATTAGTTGCATTTAAGCAGAAAATTAAGATAATATACGAGTATAATTGGTTCGTTTATAATCACTGTTATTATTAAAATTATTGAAATCTGCGATTACAATTACAACTAAGGCTTCGACATTTTAATTAATATCAACTACATCTCATTTGTTTTCTCAAGTATTATTTACTCATTTAATAGCATAATTCATTGTGCACGCAAACTATTTCATATAAAATGACATATTCTAATTGAATTTTATCTCAAATACAACATTTTTAATACGCTATTATGTATTCATTCGCATCTTCTATATGGTGTTTAAATATTAAATAAACATTTATCCGGCACGTCGACCGTTGGAACCTAACTTCTAAAATTATAACGACACATCAATATATGCATTTTCCATAATTTAATGTTTTTCGTTTTTTTTTTTTTTTTTTTTTTTTTTTTTTTTTTTTTTTTTCATCAAACGACAACAATACCATTTAAAGATAAATAGTTAAATTAAAAAATATTTTGATTAACATTTAATAAACTCATTTAATTACGTAAAACCAATCTCTTAAATGTCCCAAGCTATTAATAAGATGTTTATGCAATAATAACGTATTATCTAATTTAAAAGGTGGCGTTAATGCGTTAATTAATACTTGATGACTTAAATTTAAAAAAAAAAAATAGTATAGAAATAATTTTAATGTTGTTTAACGACGTGGTGTAATTAGCGGATGTAATACATAACTTTTACTGTCAATACTGAAACCACATTATTAAGTTCTTTTCCAATTATTAATACTTTTACTGTTATTCTTCCTCCTCTTCAGCCTCCTCCTACTTTTTTTCTTCTTTTTATTATCATTATTAGTAGTATTAGGAAAATTTAGGCTAGATAATGTTAATAGTATTTGTTTTTAATTTTTAATTGAAAGTACTTTTCACCATCATAAAAATTTTACTTACAGTTCTTAAAAATAAGAAAATATATCGTGACATTCTATTCTTTAAATATGGATAGGATCGATATAATAAATAAAATAATATTTGCAAATATCAAAATATTTTTGTTTAAGTAGTGAAAACACTGTCAAATAGTAAAATAATCGTTCGGAAGAAAAGAAACCTTTAAATATTAATCCTATAAAATAAGCATTAGATAATCTGGTATTAAGATACATTGTATGTACATTTTTACTCGATATTTAGTGAAATCTAATTTTGCTTATATTATTAAAATAATATTTCTCGAACAAAAAAACAAAAAAAAAAAAAACAAAGAAAAAAAATACCTTAATACTTTAGATACAGTTAAAATATTTATTAAATGCTTAATACATAAATTTACATTAACAATAAATTCTATCAGTCTTATAATCACATAAATGTACCTAAATAGTAATTGTATTTCGTAAGTGACTCGGAAATCGATGAACTTGATAAGGACATAAATAAGGACACCCTAAAAATACGAGTAAAGTGCAATTACGCGGTGTATTACGAGAATAAGCATTAAGAATTTTCTGTCGATAGCTTATGATATAAGAATGCTGCATTAGAGCAATATGCGAAGCAACAAATTACTCGGCAAATTCATCGCTGATATATAGTAAAAGTATTTACAGTTGTTTTATTAAATTTCTACCAAACACGGGGATAATGAATAAATATGAAAACGCGCGCGTGATATTTATAAAAATTTATAAAGATTAAATCTAATCTAAACTTAGATTAAATCCAATCTAAATGAAATCTGCCATACAATATTAAATTTTTTCGAACATTTAGTAAATTTAGCATATGTATGATTCATAAATTACTGAAAATATTGCAATAGCAGTTTACACATATTATGTTTATGCAATTACAGCCTGATTTTATAGGAGAAATCAGTATGACATCGCCTACCGGACCAGTGTTCGCGGCTCTGACCGCGATGGCCCAACGAGGCGGAGGCGGCGGCGGCGGCGGCGGTGGTGGCGGCTTCGGCGGCTATGGCGGCTTCAATAACCAGACAGTAGTGGATAAGGCCGCGCCCGAAATCCATCACATGATCGACCCTTATTGGTACCAGTTCCCACCTATGAATCCTCTTTGGTATGGTATTCTTGGCTTCGTCATTGGTTGCCTTGGTTGCGTCTCGGTTATCGGCAATGGAATGGTGGTCTATATTTTCGCAAGTACCAAGTCTCTTCGCACTCCCAGCAATCTTCTGGTCATCAACCTCGCCTTTTCTGATTTTTGCATGATGTTTACCATGTCACCGCCTATGGTAAAGCAGCGACACGCTTTGTTTAATCTTGTCGTTTCTTTGCTTTATTTAACTAGATTGTCTAATAGTTATTGTTGTTGAAAAGACGGGTTTCTTCTTTAAAATAGTCTTAATAAAAAAAATCGTCTCATTTATTACTAACACTACAGAGCTCAAGTACAGTAGATAGGTCTACTGTTGCAGATTGATTAGTATTTAAGTAGATTCATTACTTATATTATAAATATACTCGAGTTCGTATAGTTGAAATTTGATAAAAATTTTGTATTATTAAATGCGTTATTCATAATGGAAAAAAAAACAACAACAACAAATTTAGTAGTCAAATGAAATAGAAAAAATATGTTTATTTCCATAATTTATGATCTAAATAATTGAATAATTGAAAAAAATATAGATTACAGTGCTTATGAAGATTAAAAGGATTTCAGCAAATAAAAATTTGTTAATTTAAAAAAATTGAAAATTCTTATAAAAAGCTAATGCTATTTTAATTTATCGCTTAAATAAATAAAAACAATCGTGCAAATCTAATAGTTTTTTTTTTTTTTTTTTTAAGCAGATATTATTAATTATAAATATATCTATCAATACATACATATATACATATATATATATATATATATATATATTTATAGATAGTTTATAGTTTTTATTTAATTACGTATAGCTTTCATTTAAGAGATATAAATAAGATAAAATATTTAATCGGTAGACACAACTTTTTGATTCAATATAATGTAACGGCATTAATGATACTTGGATTACTAAATGTACATTACAATTATATAATTTACAAATATATTTATGAATTACTGATTGTATAAATTATAGGAATGTGATAATTATAAATTTATAAATTTCATAAAATCCATGATAATCTCAAATAGTACAAATACACAAATTACAAGTAACAATAACGAGCAATGATATAAAAACTTTACTTAAATTATACATAAATTAAAAATTTGTTGTAATATTAATAATTAAATGTTTAAATAAATATATTTCGTAGTTTGATAGCTTTAATCAAACGCCACAAATAAATGACAAGTAAAAGTTGTTGCAGAATGTAAATGCGAAAATGCTGATTTATCATGATAAATTATAAATTACAATCATTAGAAATCACGGGAAAACGCCTTTAGCGTTTCCAATAGACATTGACCAACATAAAAGTTTTACTTTTCAATGTTTTATTATCGTCTGAAATAGTTAAAAAGTGCCTCGTAATAAACCGAAGAAATTAATTTAAGGTAATCAACTGCTATTATGAAACGTGGATATTTGGACCATTGATGTGCGAAGTTTATGCATTGTGTGGCTCCATATTCGGTTGCGCCTCCATATGGACAATGTGCATGATCGCTTTCGACAGATACAATGTAATCGTCAAGGGTCTGTCGGCTAAGCCAATGTCTATCAACGGTGCATTGCTCCGAATTCTTGGAATATGGCTTATGGCATCCATTTGGACCATCGCACCTTTGTTTGGCTGGAATCGGTATAATTTTGCAACTATAAGTATTACGCGCGCGGGCGTATCCATGAAAAATTAGTCTTTGTAATTTAAAGTAAATTACATAAATTTAATAGAATCGATGCTCGAGCCAATGAATTGTATATAATACGCGCATATAATTTTTATTTATATTTTAATATTAATTTATAATATCATAATCAGCCATAATTATATAAATAGCCAATTCTATACGATTAATTGGTTGATTAGTTAATTAATTATACGTAAGCTAAGAGAAATATGTTTCTGTAAAATATTCATTTACAGAACAATTTATAAATTTACAATCGATAATTTTACTTATTGCCTTATTTAAAATTATGATCGATGGTTTAGAGCACAAAATTTGAAGGGCAACTATTGTTTGCCAATATAATAATGTGAAGGATCGGTTTCATTTTCATTAGCACGATAATATATATTAACAGGTGTTAGTATCGGATAGTGGAGAAATCAATTTTCTGACAATTTTACAATCAGTAAAGAGAGAACTGTACAATAGGTTCATTTTTCATATAAGAAAGATATCGAAAACAACTGTGTTAAAAGTGTAAAATAGGAGAACTATCGGATTATCAATAGAAAAAAAAATATACATAAGCATCGATTTAATTACGTTCTGACATTTCTTTCATAAGATTTTCTAATAATTTTCAAACAAAATGTTATAATTTTAGCATTATTAGTAAGAACAATAATAATAGCCTAGGCTGTAAATATTATTTACAAAAAAAAAAAAAAAAAAAAAAAAAAGAAAAAAAAATCACGATATAAATCTGTTACAAATGCTTATGTTATTGTGAAACTAAGTAGATTACAATAACATTGATTATAAGATGATTAGATAAATAATCAAACGAAACTTTATTAAGATTTACGACAAATGCATGCAACATATCATTGTTATTATATTACTTGAAAATCAATCTATACGATCATGTCAATTTATTCCTTTTTTTTTTTTTTATTTCAGTTACGTTCCCGAGGGTAATTTGACTGCTTGCGGTACTGATTATTTCAGCAAAGACTGGCTCTCCAGATCATACATTGTCGTATATAGCTTTTTCGTCTACTTCCTTCCGCTCTTACTTATAATTTACAGCTACTATTTCATTATCAAAGCTGTGTCTGCACATGAAAAGAATATGCGAGAACAGGCGAAGAAAATGAATGTCGCCTCTTTGCGACAAGGAGATGCGCAGAGTTCAGAGAACAAACTCGCCAAGGCATGTTTTCTTTACTTGAATATTAAGAAATTCACACTATTTTTTTTTTTTTTTTTCTTTTTTTTTTTTTTTTTTTTTTTATTTTTTTTTAATTTCAAA